CCATCGGACTTACCCCGAAATTGGAAGCGGCAAAGCGGTCGGAGGCTGAGACGTTGGTGGAAGCCGTGGTGTGGGCGTAGTATGCGTTGATGTTGGCTAGCAGGGTGCTCATCACTGCAGGCACCCCTGGGCACATGTATTTGGAGGAAAGGCAGGCAAAATGCCTGTGGAGGGAGGCGGAAGGTGAGGGTGCGGGGCCATGGGAGGGGCTGCCTGTAGGAAGGGGCACAGGGTTTGGGGTGCATGCATGGAGAAGGGGAGGTAGGGGCACACAGGTGTGGGGTGAGCTAGGGTAGCACATAGACCCGTGGTGGGGAGAAGATGCCGACAGTGACACCCTGTGCCCCTCCCGGGCTGGCGCAGCCCCTGTGAGCAGGGTGGAGGGCAGGGGACTCACGTCATGGCCTGGTAGATGGACTCCACCCCGTAGCGCATGGCAAACTCATCCACGATCTCCTGTGCTGTCTCATCAAAGTACACCTTCCAGGCATCATCCCCCTTGGCGTCGGGGATCTTCACCACTCCGTTGTTTTGTAAATCCGTCACAAAGTGGAACAGGTTCTGGAGGTACAAATGAGTCCTGTCAGGTCCCTGAGGCTGGTGGCGCAGTGACATCGCTGGGGTCAGTGCTGGCCTGGGCTGCTCACCTCGTGCAGGCAGGTGTACTGTACATGGTAAGGAGCCACCTTCTCCTCGCCTTTGATCTCCACGCTGATGTGCAGCCGGATGGCTCCTGACACAGCCGACTTGTCTGTCCGCTTGTCTGCGGGGTACAAGGACGGGGACAAGATGTGAGGCTTCCCCAGAGCAACTCTGCTCACTGCTGACCCCAAAGAGGCATAGACAGCTCCAGCACAGAGGCTCTTGGAGCCAGGGCCAAGGGGGCACCCAGCACCAGGTACAATGCAACCAGAGCATTGCAGAGAGGGATTTGGCTGTATCTCCAGGCACTACAGAGATGTGGCCTCTGCCTCAGTTTCCCTTCTGCAAAGGGCCAGTGCTGCAGACCTCCTGGGAAAGGGTTTTGAGAATGACCCTGAGAAAACACTTGATCCCAATGGTTTTTGATATTGCATGTTTCTAACAGCAGACCCTATACTAATATGTCGAAATAGCCTTTCACAGCAGGGCTGGCAGCATGTCCCCCCAGCGGTGCGGGGTCAGGGGTCCCAGCCTGAGCGGGCCATACTGGGGCAGCTGGTTACCGAGGTTGTACCAGACGTCCATCTCCCCACTCAGGGTCCGGACCTCGATGATCGTCTGGCCCAGGAAGTCATCAGACTCCCTCTTGAAGCGCTGCTTAACACGGGACTTGATGTCGTCATCTTCGTCCCAGACACGGACCTTGATGCGGTCAGAGGAGTTATGGCACTCGCTGAAGAGGGAAGAACAGGCAAGCCCCAGGATGAGTAGGGAAACTTTTCCAGCCTCTCCCCAGCCTCAGTTTCTCTAAACAAGAGGGACCATCCCAGCACTGGGCAGGAGTTGGGGAAGAGAACAGATGTGGGGGCACCAACCCTCCCTGTTGGCTCTGCACCATGCCCAGGCAGCCCTAACACAGCCCGGATCAGCCCCCATCGCCACAAGCCAAACCCTCCATGGCACAAAACCAGCACTCCCAGTGACCCCAGCAGCCCCCCTCCAACCTCAACTGGGACAGGATGAGGCCCCAGCTGACAGCCAGCGCAGCCCAGCACGGCCACAAGTGGCCAGGAAGGGGACAGAGAGACGAGGAGTGAACTTACAAATGGAAATTCTCCTCCCAGACCGGGTTGAGATTGCCGTAGATAGTTTTAGTCCTTTTTTTTGTCTTTCCAACCTGGACAGTGACATATGGGTCACTGGACCCCGTCTTATCCTTTGCTTGCAGGCCCTGGGCACAAACGACTGCAGCGCAGCATGGCACAGCCCAGCACGCACACATCCCCACGAGGCACATGCACGGCACACGCAGCAGAGAGAACAGACAGAGAAAGGAGTCAGTGCCACCCCAAGACCCCGCCGCAGGCACCTCATGTCCCCCAGCAGCGCTCCAGGGGCTGAAAACGCTTTGCAGGATGAGGGGCAGGAGGGGAGGTTGGAGCACGCAGCATCCTTGCGCAAGGGGACAGCCTCGCGGTTCCCCCATGGCACACAGTGCCAGGTGCAACCTGAGCCTACCTGTAATGCTGATCTTGGCCGACCATTTGGAGGTGCCGTCCAGGACGCTCTGCTTCACTGCCTTCATCTGTTGCGTGTGCGTGGTCTTGGTGACCCCAAACACCTCCTGGATCAGCTCAAATATCTCTGGCTTGTTGCGCTCCCGGATCTTCATGCGGTCCTTGAGCACCATGATGATATTCTGGGTCCGGTCCTCTGCTCCGTGCTTGGAGCTCTTCTCTGCTGCCCCTGGGAGAGGACAGGCATGGGTGAGTTGGGGGCAGGGGGCAGGTGCCATCCAGGAGAGAACTGAGAGCTCCCCAAGCCCACCATGCATGAATGAATCCCAGAAGCATTTGGCTGGAAAAGATCTTTAAGATCATCGAGTCCAACCATAACCTGTCCACCACTAACCCACGGCCCTCAGCACCTCATCTCCCCATCTTTTAAATCCCTCCAGGGATGGTGACTCCACCACTGTCCTGGGAAGGCCCTGCCAGTGCCTGATAACCCATTCAGGGAAGAAATTTTCCTTCATATCCAATCTAACCCTCCCCTGGTGCAACTTGAGGCCATTTCCTCCCATCTCATCGCTTGTTCCTGAGGAGAAGAGAATGACTCCATTCACTAACCCCTCCTTTCAGGGAGCTGTAGAGGGCAATGAGGTCTCCCCTCAGTCCTCTCTTCTCCAGGCTGAAAAACCCCAGAATTCAAACCTGGAGGGCTCAACCCCTGCCCTCTTACTCTGCAGGCAGTCGGCATTGAGCAGGTCCTGGCACTTCTCATGGCACTTGACACCACACTCGGCGCAGCGCATGCCCTGCCGGGCGATGCCCCAGAGCAGCCCCTCACACTCGTAGCAGTAGGTGGGGGTGGTGGCCGTCCACACCTCAAAGTTGTGGGGCGTCGTGCAGGAGATGGGGTACACTAAGGCTTGCAGGGTCTTCTTGTAAACATGGTTTTTCTGTGTGAGGACAGAAGAGAGATGGGGAGAAAAGCTCAGGCAACAGACGGCAGCTGAGGTGCAGAGACCCCATTCATGGGCCATGTGTGTTGTCACTGCTGGGTGCAGACAAACACCCTCATCCCCAGGTGCCACTCGGAGCACCCCAACTGCTTTGGCATTGCCAGAGGAGGATGCTGGTGCAGCACAGACTTCATATCTCTGTTTCTAGCCCAGCTCAGCCCTCCTGCCACGACCACCCCACATCCCAACCAGCTCCAGCACCTACCAGCTCCTCATTGTTCAAGGTGCTTGAGGCCAGCGCAGATGTGATTCCTGCTTTCCTGGACTGGACCAGGGACTGTGGGAAAGAAACACAGTTCCCAGATCCGGAAGTGCATGGAGTGTCCGTCCCACACTCCTTTGGGGTCCCAGTGGCTGTAAAACACCGGGGACAGACCCCCCAGCCCAGCCAGGGGCAGGTGACGGCTGCAGGGGCTGCCAGTGGGGACAACCCAGCTCTCAGTGATGCCAGTGCTGCTAAGCGCTCTGCAGGGGGACTGGAACCAGTTCAGCAGTCCACAACACTCCCAGTTCAGTCCCAGCAGGGCAGAGCCTCTTGACATCTGTCTGAGACTCGGGGTGGGGGACACTTACCATTGCCTGTAGGCAGCCAGGGTCAGCGCGGGGGGGAATAAAAGGCCATTAGTGTGAGTCACATCACAGCACAGCGAGTCCTGACCCCTTTCCTGCTG